TGCCTGATCAACATCATTTCATTTTTCATTATTTTATTTACAGTAGGAAAGTGAAAAACAGCTCTCCTGCTTTAATAGAGGAAAAAATAGCAATTGGTTAGATGGGAGAAAAATGAACCTGAATGTTCTGAAGAACTTTAAAACCCTGAATCCAACTGCTAGTTGGACATCCAGTAGCAGACGCTAACGGGATTATAATAGCAAAGCAGAAAGTTGTTTTGTTGTTGTTTTGTTTTGGGGGGGAGTTATTTGCTTTCAAATAGCAGCTATCACAGTTTTCATAGTTCAGAATATTTGAATGTACAAAGTTTGGTAGCCCTCTGCTTTTGAAAATGGAAGCCCTATATGAAGAGTAATTTTATACCCTTCCTTCCAGTTAAAACATTTGCTGTCTTCATGTAGCGTAAGACTTCCTGAAGTACTGTCATTCTGTATCACATTATGCAGGAGAAAAGTGGGCAGTAACATATTTTTCTAAGTGTTGTTCCCTTTAGGTAATGCATCTTGTGCAACTGGGACAGCTGGCTTGGTGTGAAGGCTTATGAGCTAGCTGAAATATGGTTGAGGGCATTACTGGTATCTTGATGGGTAATTCAGTGAAGATAACTGAAAGGATACTCATCAGTATCTGCAGCACTGTCCCAGAACTAAGCAATGTCTGTGGGAATGGTGTGATGATATACTGAGAGAGAAAAGGTTAATAGAAAGCAACACAACTTTGTGAAGTCTGCATCCATAGTAATGAAACTAGGTGGATACTACCACACAAAGTAGTCATTTGCACCTTTTGACTGAAGTAGAAGTCATTAGATCCTATTGCTAATAATTAGGACTACCTGGCCACCCTTAACGTTTGCATAAATCAGTATAATTCTTCTGCTTCCAAAATCAGTACTCACACGGTCTGTCTTTAAATGTCCAGCTGTGTTAATCAATGAAGAGAGAGATGTTTTCCCAAAGGGCAATGCAGAGCAACAACAGCAGTTCATGCTCTGAATTATAATTCGTAAAATCAAGGTAAATGTACAACACAAGATGAATATACTCATTATTCCTTGTTATAACTAATTCCTGTGCAAGACAATCTACAGTATTTTATTTGGAAAAATCTTTATTGATGTTTGTAAAATAACTTAGTTTAAAAAAATAAAAATCTGAGCAAATACAAAAACACTTCCACAAGACATTGCAGATGATTGAACGGAATCTGACACAGGTGGATGTATTTGAAGATGGATGCCCTCAGATGATACCTTCTTTGGCACCTGCTGCTGAGAGTGTCCTTTTTCATGTGCTATTGTTTCAGTGGGTCAGAAAATCACCTTTATTCAGGGCATGATAACAGCATCAGGTGGGTGCATCCAACTGCGTTCTGCTCCATCAGGCTGCTTCAGGCTGCTTCATCCACATAAAATTGAAAAGGGAATCATTTATTTGGGCAGTGCTGAAGCAGTCTATCTTCTGAATCCAACTGGAAATAAAATTAAGCATGATTGCCAGATTTTTTCAAAGAGGACCTGGCATGACCTTCGGGGGTATGGCATGCCTTCTCTTCGGATGGCTCAAGTAGGACCTTTTCTGAGTTGCTCGGCTCTCGTAACACATATATGGGACCTCTGAAGTGAAACAGTGAGGTCATTAGGACACTATAGGCCTTCTTGGTGTTCACCTTCTCACTGCCACTGGCCCTTTCTAAGGCAAGAGCAACATCTAGCTGCATGGACCAGCCTGTGGCTTGAAATCTGAGCTATAGATGGTCAAGAGTTTCTTACCTTATTAATGAAAACTTTCCGTTGTGTTCTTCAGATCTGCATGAGAATTTGTTGTGCCAAATATTTTAGGTTAATGCATTTAGCAGAAGAAAAAGGTCCCAAGGCATCATGTGGAGCAATCTACTTGCAATGCTTTTTACTGTTAAAGAGCCGTCCCTTAAAAATGCATTTCAGTCTACGTAGTCTGTCAACAAAACTGGATCAAACTTGCTCCATTTCCAAAACAAAAGGACCTTCTGAAGCTGCTAGTCCCGTAAGGTCACCCTGAGAATGGAAACTCTTTTTTTTCTGTTCAGATATTTTTATTTCTCTAAAAAAGCATTCTGCAGCAAGAAGCCAAGTAATCATTTTCTAACAGTATAAAAGAGAAGACAATCCATCATTTTATTCTCCCACAGCTGCATTGTTCTCTGAAGTTAAACTGCCGTTAGAACTTATTTTAGCAGTAAAGCAAGTAGCTGTTGCTTAGCGATGCCTGGAGAGTGCAGAGTGTCCTATTTACATACTTTTTTTTTTTTTTTTTTTTACTGTAATCTCACTCCAGCATTGGCTGACCTGTGTTCTGTGGCAAGAACATTCAAGAATTAGTCTGAGTATTCTCTGCCTCTTCTAAAAGTGTTTGTGTCCAAGAGTGTACACAGAGCTCTCTGCAAAGGACAGACAGCAGTAGATGAACCCCAGCTGTCTGTATGTGCAAGGTTGTACAAGGTGCGGTCAGTGTTGAAGCTCCCAGGATTCTAGCCTGTTGGAAAGGGAGACTACATACACAGAAACTGAAGGAAGATAGATGGGGGGGGAGAGGGGGAGGCAGATTGCCACTTAAAGTCAGGATGTACACAACTGAGGTATGTTAAGAATGGCATGTTCCCCCTGGTTCAGTACACATTTGCTCAATTCTGCTACCTGTCAGAGCAGTGGCTTCCCTTGAGGTGCTGGGTGAAAGCTGGGACTTTACATATATTTGTTTTATGATCAGTGATGTTCAAGCCAAAAACACCAAGGATGACCTATACCTTTAATCCTTACAGGGTTTCCTTTAGTACCTGCTTCAATTCATGCAGTTGCAAGAGCCAAATACTTCAATGACAAGTGAGTAGCATGTCTTTTTTTGAAGGAATTTATCACTATTTAATTGTGTTACACATTCTGAGTGAATAATAAATTGTGTGATGTATTTCCCCTCCAGCTGCTGGATGAGTGTTGACACTCACTTGCTTTATATTGTTCATGGACCTGTAATGGCAGCTTTATTGGTAAGAATGTTATTTGCTATCAACCATTTAATAATTGTTTTAGAAATGCTGCTAATGTGTAGAGAATAGAAATTTGTGTGTTTCAAGTCTTCTGGTGAAAATTTGAAAGCAGTTTGTGATCTTCTCTTTTAAAGAAAGGCGCTCAATATTTTTCATAAAATTTTTTTCTGTCCAAGGAACCACCTGAAATATAAGCAGATTTTGAAGCCAACTGAACTATGTAACTGAGTTTTATTCAGCCCAAGTCCCAAACACATCTCAGCATGCCATCCAAGATGCGCTCTCAGCTTTCAGGCTTCCACTTGCTTGCAAACTTCTGCATGGATATACCTGCAGAAATGGCCTAGCAGATCAAAGAGTATGGTGGTGAATGCTCAGAATACCTCTGAATAAAGAAACAACCCTCTGTCTACTAGTTTAAAAAAACAAAACAAAACAAAACAAAACAACAGCTGTTTCTGCCCCTTCTTGAGAAGTAACTTTGCCCATCAGGAATACAGAGAAGCCAGTTCATCCCTGCCATGTTCAGCCTACCATGGCTGCAGGATCACATTCTGCTGCGGGTTTATTGGCTTGATCTTGACTGCTGCTGTCATAAAGCCAGCTTCTAGAAGATGCCAGTCAGCCTTTATTTTGATCACCAAGCCCCAAGTCTGCACATTTTAGCTGCAAAGAAAAGAGGACAGGCTGGTTTTATGGAAGCAGAGCAATTTGTAACTGTTTTTAAAATAAGATGTTATATTTTCTGTCTTGTTCTTATGCTGTTTCCAGTTTTATTTTTCTCTTGAAGTTGTCACTGTTTATACAATGTCCTTCATGATTTGCTACAGAAATCTCATAGTGGTAGCCTGACTCAGAGGAGCTGAGGCTTTTTACCTTTGCAGAGTCTTTTTTTCACCTTCCACAGTAACTTCAAAAAGTTCTTAAAGTGAAGGTTAAGTAGAGAGAGTGAAGTCAGAGGAGGATGGAGAATAAGATTTAGATTTAATGCTGAATGGGATCTCAGAAGTCATTTATTATTCCTTTTTTTTTTTTTTTTTCCAGTAGAGCATGAATGTAAAACAGCTGAAAGGTCTCTCAGTAGCTAAGAAGTTACAAAGTGCTTTGTGAAAGCTTACTGATTCATGGTTTATTGTTTTGAAAGATCCAAGTGAGATTTCTCACGTATGCATGGATTTGGGACTATTAAAATCTCTATTTTAGTTATGTAATAAGAGGATACTTATTGTAAAAATGGTTGCTATAGAAGTCTGTTGAAGTTCATAAGCACTGGTGCCTGCTGGTATTGTAATGGAGTAGGAAAGGTGGCCTGGTTATATACTGGGGAGAAAGGAAATCTGTGGTACCTATGATGTCCTCAGGGCTCATTATCAGCCCATGTGCTCCCAAGCACATCCTGCCAGGAGCTCTGTGAAGTCAGGGCAATGTGGCCCTGTGCTGAGCAGCCATGACTGGAGTCAGGTTTTTAGAAATGATTCTGGAACTCAGATAATGGCTACTTGGGAGGGCTGATCAAAAGAGGAGGGTGCAAAACTTTCTCAACTCTTTGGCCTTTCTGCCCTGTTCCAGCTTGTTTTGCTACCTATGAGCAGCATACATAGGACCCTACAGTCCCATGGAGGCAAAGTTGAGCCTAGGTTTTCTCAGGAACAGACTTGGCCCTTTGCTCACACAATCCTGAAGTGATAGCACACATGAGCCAGAGCAGGTCCCTCAGAGAATGTGTGTACCCTGGAGGCTCCATACGCCTGTGGGTTTCTTACCTGGCTGCAGCACAAAGCATGACACCTTGGTAGCCTCCAGAGCAGCCATTTCCCAGGGGATAATTCACCCTTTGTGCTTAAGCTCTATGAGATGTTTTGTTCCTTGGAGATCCTCAGTTTGACCACATCAGTGTCAAAACACGCAGAACTGATCCCTGCCTATCTCAAACATCCATTCAGGTTCCTCAGGGAAGCACATACAGCAGCTTAACGTCTGTTTTCTGAAGGTGTTCAAGGTACTCTTCAAGGTCTGACTCTCAGGGGGCTGCACACTGGGAGCTACAATGAAGCTAGGAAACTGCATTTTAAAGTCATTTCTGTGTTCTGTGGTTTTGGCTTGAATGCCTGTTTAATTTGGTTGCTTTTACCTATAATGGCTTTGCTTTACAGGTCAATTTTTTCTTTTTGCTTAACATTGTCCGAGTTTTGGTGACAAAGCTAAGAGATACCCACCGTGCTGAGTCCAACATGTATATGAAAGCTGTCAGAGCCACGTTAATCCTGGTTCCATTACTAGGAATTCAGTTTGTTATTATTCCCTGGAGACCAGAAAACCGACTTGCTGGAGAAATATATGATTACATCATGCATATATTAATGCATTACCAGGTATGCTATATGGTAGCAACTTCAGCTTAAGTGAGGTGCTTGCTGTTAAGCTTATTTAGTCAAAGATATTGTTGTCAGTTGTTTTGCACTGAAATTGAGCATGATTGTGGTTTTATATTTTTCAATTGCCTTTACATTGCTGAATTATCTACCTCAGCACAAGTAGCATTGATGTATCAAGAAAAAATATGAGATAAAGGAAACAGAAAGATGAGGGAAAAAGATCAAATGGCACTACTTCTGAACTAAACAGAGAGATCCAAGATCACAAAGGTCTTCTATGTTGAAAGTGCTATTTCTGTTAAGTGCTGAAATTCACTGAAACTGCTGCTGTGAGGTTAATAATAAAATTAGCTGCATGCAAAGTATTGTACAGAGGGAATTCCAATACACAAAAGAAAAATTCTGACAATGAAGCTTGATTTAGGAGTTAAAATTCCATTATTAAATAGTTGAAATTAAAGTATAACACTTACAACACTGACATCTTTATTTCAAAAATACTTTGAAAATATGTCATTGTTCATTAGGATTTTGTTTTATTTTTTAAACAGAAAATGATGTGACTTCAAATGCTTGGTTGTCTGGTTTACTCTCTTAACATACCCAGTCCCCTATTGCTGAGGTAAAGCAAATTGCTGATGCGTTTGTGAGTAGAGGGCAACACGGGCAAGCACACTTCTGCTTTTCTTTTATGCTGAAGGTAAAGGCAGAAGTTATTTTAATGTTGTAGTAAGTAAACAAGTCTTAACAACAACAAAAATTCCTTCAGTGAGGGGGTAAGTAATGCTGCCAAAATCTGTGTATCCTGCCGTCTGAGATTTCCTGCTTATATCACCCTTATCAGTTCAAAATCATGTGTGCATGATACTACACGCATAGAAAAACTGAAGTGCTAAGTCTGACTGGTTTGGTAGTGGAGATGTTCAGGAATAGCAGAAATAAGCACATCTAGATATGCTGTATTGTTTTTAGGGAGCCATAACCTAGAAGAAATACAATTGAAGTATCAGAAACCCACATAAATTTGAAGCATCTGCATAGGGTTTTGTTTGTTTATAACCTGAGCAAATTACATCCTGTAGGAGAGTGAAATATGTCAGATACCTGTCAAGCATAAATGTCCATGGACCGGTATTAAACACAGAGAAAAAATTACTGTGGGATCAGTCAAGTTCACAAAAGTCTGAGAGCTTCTGACTAGACAGTCCCTTAGGCATGAGTCATCAGAGAGCCATGTGCTTTTGGGTCTCGCATGATTCCAGAAAGAATGAATTTCAGAAGCAATCTATAAAGGCCTTAATGTCCAAATAAACATAGTCCCCATCTCTGCTATCAATCCCATAGTCACTATTACCCTCTGTCAACTGATAATGTATTATAGGTTGGTTTTACAACTACACACAGTGGAAGACAGAGATAATAGATCTAGAGGGCTCATCTTCATCAGGGATTGCACCCAGAGCAAAAAAAAAAAGAAGAAAAAAACAGCAGCAGTTAGAGAGAATATGGAAGGCTTATGTCAAAGAAATACCAGAATTAACCCGTGGGCCCTACATGATATGGTAACATGCATCCAGCCTCTCACATATTATAATAGTACATGTATCCCTCATAAAATTATCAGCATCCCAAACCTTCCTAGCTCCATAGAAACAAATTTGCTCCATTTGCTGCTGGTATCTCTGTAGCTTTACAGCTGAAGATATGCACAGTACACTGAACTGTGAAAAAAATTACATAGAAATCAGAAGAAGCAGAAACAGAACTAATAGAACTAGAAGTAATTGTTCATATAGTGGGCTGTGGTTGAAAATATGTTAGATGTTATAAAAAAGGCCTGATAGAGATGAGCAGGCATGAAAAGTCTTAGTGCCAGAGGTACGTGTTATAGCTGTGATATTTGTATTTCACAAAACCAGGTGAGATAGCAGTTTTAGTGAGGATAAGTATTTTACTGCCATGAGACATGGTTTAAAATTCAATAAAGGCAACCACTTTAGTATTTGCTCTAATTAAAAGCAACAAGCAGTTTACTTGTGCATTTAATCTTCCAGATCTTATCTTCTCTTGATCTTATCCTAATATCGTTCACCAGTTGTGTATGAACATCATTTCTGTGTTTGCACAGAAGGCTGACACATATCATAGTTTGCTATCTGTAAGTGGGCAGATGCCATACCAGTTATCTATTGTTCTCCTTCAGACTCATTAGACTCCCATCTGTCATGAGACCTCATCAAGCTTCAAGAAATATTACCTTACTCCCCTCAAGGCAAACAGTCTGTTTCTATTCCTCTCAGTATTTATTTGGGTTGGGGTTTTTACTGTGTGGTTAAAGGGAAACCTTTGAGTGTATGATGTGGGGACCCTAACAGAAAATTAGCCTCCACCTATATTCCAGATGGCATCTCACAGATGCTATTGCTCAACAGAGTGGTTTAATTTCAAATATAAATTGCCCAAATTCATACAAATGTCAGTGAAAGCAATTATCTAGGGAAGCACAATAAATTTTATTCTGTCCACTTGCCTTTTCAACATGTGTCCTCAGATTTCTTCAGCACAGGGAAGAGCAAGAAGTGCTTATATAACATTTAAAAAGATGAAAAATGAGCATTCATTCCTACTTGTAGGTGAGCCCAAGCCCCCCAGGCTCAATGTTAGACCCAGCTCTGTGCATGTTTTCATCCTGGTTTCCTTACAGCTGTAAGTGGGGCTCATGAGACTTGCAACATGTCATTATGGAGATCTTCCATCTGTGTATTTCCACTATTATCTTTTGAGCCTCTTAGTGAACACAGTTGGTTACTGGGTCCTTTGTAGTGTTTTCTGATGTTTTTTCTTACATAGTGGGTTAACATCTAAAAGGAAAAAAGCAAATATATATATTATTTTATATATATATATATATTATATATATATATATGTATTAATTTTGGAAAAGCTGTTCTTGAAATGTGAGCTTCACTCCCAAACTGTGGGTGAACACTGTCCTATTCATCATCTGTAGAATAGTTTTGTTCTGTCGGACTTCCTTTTCTTCTTCCTGTGATAGATTCAAGAGTACAAGGACAATTCAGATCCACTTAAGAAACTCAGAAAAGAGAGAAAGGCAGTGGAGCAGCAGAAATATGATAGACAGGCAAGAAATGAGTAAGGTGATAGGTAAATATCCCTAAGTTGGTTGAGTTCGTAGGAGCCTTTACTCCCCAGTGCCAGAAGTCTGCTGGGAACCTCCACATCTGTGTGTGGTTGTTACAGAGGTTTCTGACTTGTTTTCAAGTAGATTCAGGAGCAGTGTACGCTTTGGATGGCAGAGCCTAGAGGGCTATTGCTGTTGAAAGAAGAACAGTGAGACATACACGAGGCAAAGGAAATAATTTCTTCAGTCAGCAGAGATGTACAACTTCCATGATTTCAAAAAGGTGAATGGTCACATCTGTTCTCAGCTCATTCCAGACCAGAAGAGCAACTGGAGATATATGGTATCAACACTGCTTCCTCTTTAGCTTTTCTAACAGGGAAAGTCTAGAGAAAGCAATAGTGAAGGGAACAGAAGTAGGTTAACTGTAAGATTTAACAAGAATTTGAATACTGTACAGGATATTATTTATTTGGAAGCATTCAAGGCCAGGCTGCATGGGGCAGTGAGCAATCTGGTCTAGTGGGAAGTGTCCCTGCCTATAGCAGGGGGTTGGAACTAGGTGATCTTAAAGGTCCCATCCAACCCAAACCATTCTATGATTCTATGAAATAAAATGGAAAATGACATCAATATTTCAAGTTCAGTTTCTGCCTTAAGGTGAACTGCAGTTCCCGATTTTCCTAAAATACTCCCAGTGGAGATTAGACTTCTTTCTCTCCTCCTGGAATCTTATCTTCTGTGCCCTACTGAACTTCTCTAATCCCAGAGGAGATTAAAATCCATCTCAGTTCCCATTGTGGCTGACTACTGCTAATATAAACACATTCCAGCAGAATAGTGAAACCCCTGATGTGACCACATACCATACAGTACCACAGATGTTTTTAAGACAGCAGAAATTGACATAGCGTGCACAGTGCTGGGGAATAATCATTATAGGCCACAGCGAAGTGCAACGTTTGCATAAATATCTGATTTAGTTATCTGTGATCTATCAAAGTCTGCTGTTAAGGCATTAGTTTTTGGTTGACTTCATGGTGTTTCCCAAACCAGAGCATAGGGGAAAACTATTATCCTTTACATACTGTGTTCTGGAGTTGGAGTTTTCAGAGGGTACTGTTTTTCCAAAACATAAAAAGATTTCTTTTGCTCACTCTGATTGCCCTTCTGCCTCCTCTGTCTTCACATTTGAAGTTATTTGCAATTACATATTGCAACTAAAGAAATTTTATTGGAACAAAATCATTGCTAAAATTCAGGTGATAGCACCTCTTCAAATCAGCTTGTGTGTGTCCCTGATACATCAGCATTCTGCTACAACATTTTACCTTATCTTTGTAGTCCAAAACATGCATTTGAGGGTCCAAGATGTTTCACAAAGCATCAGCTATAATTTAACTTGTAATCAATAAAATGAAAGCTTATAAAGAAGATGCAGCTGTAAAGTACCTCAGAGCAGCCCTTGGGAACACAGAGTATTGTAGTGCAGTTTTTCCCTCAATTTCACAAACTGCCATAAATTCAGTTTCTGATAACAGCTTTAAGTAATCTAAAATGAGGGCATTTGGCTCCCGGCGTTGTTATGTAATGATATTTTAATAAGAGTTAATGCTCTTTAGAACACAGAACAGTGTAATCATGTGGTTTTGAACAGCAGGCTCTATGCACAAGAATTTTCTCTCTTACCTGTTTCACACTTCCTCACCTCATGTTCTTGGCTTGACCTTGTTTAATCCAGTAGAGGTAAGGAAATACCTGAACAATCGTGGCAATAATGAAATTAATTTCAAGAGGTTTAGGACCAAGCTATGATCTTCAGTCTCTTCCCTACCTTTTATTTCACCTGTGTTTTGTGTTGATTTATTTTCCCTTTTTCTGACCTCTAATATCTGTTTTCACACCTTCCCATCCATAGTGATGCTGCACATATGGGTCCACGTATCCCATCATACACTTCAACTGAAAGCCTTTCTGGCACAGCTGGGCTTCCCTTGTGTGACAGTCTTAACTGGGTAACTTCACTCTGACAAATGCACAGCAGCATGTGGGGCAGTTCCTCTGCCTTCACTTCCTAAAGCCAGTATCACTTAGTTATCCTTCTCCTGTCCTCTCAAACAAAAATAACTTTATAGGCAGAACAGATCATCTAGAAATGCCAGCAATATGGAAGAAAATATATTGAAAGGACAAAAACTGGTGTAAAAATATAACTGAGAATTAGGAAGATGTGAAATGTCTGTGGTGGAAAGGAAGTGGATCAAAGTTTGTCTTGCATGCCTCAAGCCTCATCTTCCAAACAATGCAAACAAATATCTATGTATATATTCTGATCCTTAAATGCTTTTCATTTTCTTTCTCTTAGGGCTTGCTTGTGGCGACTATATTCTGCTTCTTCAATGGTGAGGTATGTATCTACAACACAACAAGAGCAAAGAAACTTCAAAAATAGTCACTTAGATGTTGATTGGTACAAAAATTAAGCATCTCGAATTACAAAATTCGAAGGCAGAAAAAGATATTTTTCAAGATCTATATACAGGCAGCACTGTGCATTTCTGAAATCTCTGTGTGAAAACCTCATTGAGTCAGAAAAGTCAGCAGCACCAAGTCCAGCACAGACGTGTCTGTCCCCCTTTCACCCACAGTATCACACAAGTTAGAGGTCAAAGTGGACCTCTAGTCCACGAGTTACACTAGTAAAAGACTCAAACAGTTGACAGAGCTACCACACATGGTAGCATTGTCAGAGCAGAGGAATCTGTAGGGCTGCAACTACTTTCCCTTCTTTGAAAATTTGTGCTGGCCTTTTTAAGGTCAATAATTATCAAGCTGTAATTAAGGCTTGAGTTAAGGATGTCTCCCCTTCTCTTATAACTTGATCAAATGTTTATACTTACAAGTGTGTCTAGGTCCACTTCACTAAGTTGTTTTTATAAAAATAGCTGTTTGTAACATGTCAAGAGCCATTTAAATTCCTACAGTAAGCCATTTCCCAAAGATGGTAAGCTGTTGAGGTACACTGGGAGCATTTAACTGTAGTGAAATAAACCACAGCATTATCTCAGAAAAGCTGGAAATCCCTTTAAAGAGTTAGCTTTGAATCCCAAGCAGATAGATTAGATACAGAACAAAATTTGCAATGCTAACACTCCGTATGTCACCCTACAGGGACATTCTTGCTTTTGTTTATCCCTGTATGTTATTCTCAAGTAGTAATGATGCTGTTTTTTTGATAGTGACTTGAAGCAAGTTATCCAACTGTTAAGGTGCTACTGGCTGGTTTTCTAGCTTTCAGGATGGCAGAGAGTATTAAATTCTACCATCTCTTGTTGACATCACTATACATTTGCTTCTGGCTGACTCACCCTGTAAAGGTACAGAGAAAGGCAATAGTAAAAGAGGCCTCCCACAGCTTATGGGAGACATAAGAGGGAAATGGCAGAACGTAAGTAGTTAAGGACACTGGAACTTAAAATGAAATAACAGTCATAAAGATCATATTACAGAAAGTCACACTTTCATTTCAGAGTTCAGACCATTTAAGCAAAGTTGGCAGATGTGCTATTCTTTTCTCTTATCATGTAACCTAACCCTAACCCCAGAACCTACAGGCTACCACCATATTTCTCCTCTACTGTTACCACCTTCTGGCACAGTTCGGTCCCCATGCTGTGCACCACAGAAGCAGGACTTCTGGTTCCTTCTGGTAGGGAGAACATGGCATGAAAAATGAAGAGACAAGCCAGCCAGGCAATTCTTGAAACAGCATATCCCTATAGGACTGATTGCACAGCTATGTACAGGCAGTGTGCCAGTATGTCCTCGCTTGCCTCCAGACAATGTATTACACCCAAATCCTTGCCTTCAGGATTGCTTTCTTTGTCCTTCCTTCCCCCCAGGGTCACCTTAAAGTTCTTCTGATTAGATTTTGCAAAACATATTTGCTTTATATTTTATAGCTTTAGGGCAAAAGGCCAATTACTCTGTAATTCTCCAAATCTAATGAGAACATTTGTGCCTAGATTAAAGGTTGTAATAGTGCTACAATGAAGAAAAGCAACAATAAATTGCACTGAAAGCATACAAACCCTCAGTAACATCCAAAAGCCTTTTTGGCACAGCTGGCAGCCCATTGCCACAACTGAAGTGCACCATCCACCGCTTCACTGTGCTCACATCCACTGTTTGGTCTCCACAAACAGACATTCAGTAAGCAGCAATAAATGTCAATGGGTGCCATTTCTCCTGCATGGAGAAATACAGTTCCACACCTTTGCTTCATGCACACATCCATGTCAGACACCATTTTTTAAGAGTGTCCCTCTGCTGCCATCTGTCACACAGCAACAAAATGTAATGGAATATGCAGAACCTGCAGAGTAGCAGCATCAGAATCATAGAACCATAGAACGATGAAGGTTGGAAAAGACCACTAAGATAATTTAGTCCAGCCATCAGCCCATCACCACCTTGCCCACTAAGTCACTCAGTGCCACATCTACATGCTTCTTGAAAACCTTCACCACCTGCCTGGGCAGCCTATTCCAATACCTTGCCACTCTTTCTGAGAAGAATTTTTTCCTAATATCTAACCTAAGCTTTACCCTGTGGCTACTTAGGGCCTAAATCTAACCTAAACAGGCTAATCTATTGTCCTAAACAGGCTAACATCAAGATGGCATTATGCACTTACAAAAGGAGAAGAGCTCTGAGTTCAGCTGCCTAAAAGCACTAAGCTAAGATAATCCTCTCCAGTCTCATTGTGTGCAGTATGAACGGACCAAAGCCACAATCTGGTTTTCAGTCATGGCAGGAGATTGTTTCCAGGCCACCATCTGATGCCATAGAGTAGAATTCAAAGTGGTTTGTCATGAGAAAATTCAGCGCAGGGCAGGCAGATTAATTTTAGCAAGAAAACTAGATACTCAGGAATTTATTTTTTTCTACTGGAATATTTAACTTCAAGGCTAAAATGCATGAAGTTTAGCCAGGACAAACAGTGCTAAATTCAGTACCACCTGACAGTATTTTATGTTGAATTTGTTTGCATGCTACCTCACAGCTTCACTTTATTGCCATAAGCCTATCTATAGAAAGAAATGGAAAAATGCTAAAATGCCATCAGTGCCCGCATTCATTTGGAAGAACACATAAACAATGGACTTTTCCAGGACTTTTTAAATGATTAATCTTCTCATGTATTTTCATGCAAAATCTCAGTGTTCAGCAGCTTTGTAGTTTCTCTGTCCAGTAACAACAGTATCATGCAGATGATACGAGGACTCTTCAGTAGTCTGCTCACCAGACCACATTTCCAGGCCTGAGATTACCTCTGGACTGCAAGACTGGCCAACACAATGGAAAGTCTCTTTGGAAAAAAAACACCACCAAATAACAGCCACATAGCTCATGTGCCAAAGAGGCATGAATGGATAATGGAGAACAGGAAAACCTTTAAAGTCTTCAAAAGCAGAGAAAGCCAATTCAGGCTCCTCGTTTCTCTGGGCTTCTCTTTCCTCCATCTGCAGTCACAGAGGAAAACATGGCAGGAGCCTTTGTGGTTGTTAGCACAGTATGGCTGGGCATGTGATTTTCAGTAAGGCTGCTTGCACATTTGAAATCTGTGCCTGAACAGTTTTAGTTGGCACTGAGCAGTGATCATCTGAGATCCTTGGAATCAGGGCAGAAATCTAGGTTTATTCGTTGCTTTACCCAAGTGCAGCAGCTCATGTAGTCCACTAGCCAAGTGTGGCCAGACTCTTGTAGGTGCCAGTGCTTGGAATGAAAGCAGCTGCTCCGACCTGGTGCTCTCACTGCTCCATGGGGCCTGTAAGCCTTGACCAGTGTCACTCCTACTGAAAGGATGTGCCTGCTGTCTCCCAGTCCATACATACCTCAGCACCATTGTCTTCTGAGAACAAAACTGTAAGTGTCTCCTGGCAGACTTTGCAAGACTGAGCGTCTTTGTTCTTCCTGCTTCATGTAACCTTAACTGTTGAGCTTCATGTAGCTTCTAGGATAACCAGACTACAGCATTCATCTGGAGCACTGTAATGTTAAAAAGGCAGTATTAAAGAGACTAAAACCTGTACAGATTTCACTTCATGCACTTCCTTATTATGTGATACAGCTGCAGTACTCTTCCATGCAGTTAGGTTTTTTTCACTAATAAACTTTGGTGGTGATATGATACTGCACATCCATGCATGCAGCCATTTCACTTCAAATCTTTATATATAAGCATAAGAGCTCTGTTTACAGCCCTGGTAATTACAGTCCATTGTGACAATATGCCTTTTCTGTGCTTGATAGCTAATTAATCTACATTGACTGTTAGTTTTCTTTTCTTTGTGTGTTAGAAGGTAAGTAGAAATTTATTTCTCTAGAGGATAAGAACTCTTAACTACTTTGCCTTGAGCTATGTGGTAGCAAAATAGAGGTAGTATGGGAAACTGAGCATGGAGATAGATAGCTTTCAGTTATTTTTAATGGACCAGTCCAGCAAACGTTTGTTTATTCAAGCAAGGAGTCATACCCAGGTCAGTGCAACTACTTGCATGAGTAAGGATTTATAGCATCAGTCTTCATCCCATGGCTCGCTCCTTGGCTTAAAAATAAAATCTAAAGCAATTGAAAAATCCATTTTTGGCACGTTGCTTAGTCCTGCTGCACAGTCAGTGAGCGTCTCAGGTTCACAGCAATTCCTTATGAAGCCGTGTCCTTATGTGACAGGGAACAGCTTTCTTGCAGGCAGCAGTGGGTGGGGAGTAGATCGAATTTTACTATATACATATCAGTGGAGTGATTAGGATTGTGGAGTCATGGGAAATACTAAAGTCACTGAGACTCATTTACATCAGTGGAAGGTACTGCTCTGCACAGAGCCTAGAGAGTGGCCCCAGAGCAACTCGCTGAGCAAGAATCACACACAGCACTGCTGCAATATGAGCATTTGAGCCCAGGGATCTGCATATCTCTCCCGCTGGTGGAGGGCTGAGTCACAGCACACTGTGGTGGCACTCAGCTCCTGCTCTCACAATGGGGGAATGGGACAGCAGAACTGAATGGATGGAGCGCAGCTTTGCCACTACCTGCTTGCATCTCAGCACAGTATTTGGGAAGGAACTGGAGGGTGCCAGCACTCCCAGACGTGCAGCTGGAGATGGGCTTCTTATTCCCTGGCAAGCCTTGGCAGCTTCAGTCATATCCTGGCACAGTATAGAACATCACCCTTAATGTAAATGTAGAATATAATGTTTTGCTCCTAGAGGATGTCCAAAAGCTGAAATTCTCTGCTACACTGAGGTCTGTGGCCAGTGCTAATTTTTGGCCAGTGCAGAACCTCCTCTTGAACTACCACAAAAGTATCCCTGTTTATCTGCATTAATTGACTGGTTCTTTCTACAAGATGAGCCCTGGCAAGCTCTTGAAATATATTTTGCCATTCATGGCCAGTTTTATTCCAGGTTAAGTTTCTTCAAGATCATAGTGCATTTGCCATTCCAGGTGCAAGGATTCAGGTGCAGCATCAGATGTCTTTTAATCTTCATCCCTACCTCCTCTTCCCTCTTCTCCCACTGCACTGCACTGCTGTGTTCCCATGCAGTACTCTGCTCCACACTGACCTCCTATAAGAACAGCTAGCCCCTCCTTCTCTTCACAAGCAGTGACCACTGAAAAAAACTATTGCTGCTGTAGGGAGGGCAGGAAGGGATCTCAGGCCATGGCTCGAGTGACTGCTTCTGGAGCTGGGAGGAGAGGGCAGAAGAGAGGCAGACTGGGCCTCATGGAATTTGACCTGGAGCTGTTTCCTTAATTTTGTCTTTTTTTCTATTTTCTGCAGCAAGTTTTAAAAGTACTAAAATTTCACTAGTTCTGATCATGCATTACCCTAACTTAACCTACCTTAACAGGTCCAAGGGGCTTTGAAGAGACAGTGGACACAGTACAAAACCCAGTGGGGCCAAAGGCGTCGAGAGCACTGCTCCACCAGATCAACCTCCTACACAGCAACGTCCATCACAGAGGTTCCTGTCTACCTGTACCATCATGACTCCAACAACGAGCAGCTCAATGGAAGATATGTAGACGACTCTGAACTTGTTGCATTGAAGTCTGGGGAGACATCAGCCTAGCTGGGCAGCAGCTGCTGCAAACACACCATTTCATGTCCTGCTTGTGAACAAAGAGAGGAAAAGAGTGGGGAATCCAAGTGGAAGAGAGCAAGACTGGGTGACTGGACACATGGCATTCAAACCACATCAGCCTCTGACAGCAACAGTGCAGGGAATCTGGCACAGAGGTAGGAATCACAGTTTATGCTTCTGAGCATGGATGTGCCTGCCAGGCCATGTCCTTCCCACACCTCCCATTATCAAATGATGATCCAGCAGCAGCAGCAGTGCCATGAGTGCGCAGCAAATAGGAAAGAAGGAACTGGTACCTGGCAACTGGAAGCATTCTGCACTTTTTGCTGTCAGTACTTTTCTTTAACAGCAGATTTCTAACTATCAACTTTCACATGATGTAACTGATTTGCGGTCCTTTACTTTTCCCTGTTTGAGGAACCTGGTGACTTCTGAAGAGATTTTGCACGCTGTGAGACAAATCAAGCAGAGGAACAGAAAAACTCGTTACAAAGTACTCACGTCTTGATGAACTCCAACAAATACCCCAACATATCATCATCCCATTAGCAGGTGCATAAAACAAATGATGGTAAAGCCGTAGTTGTATATTGAGATCTCAGACATCCTCAGAAAACCAGCCAGCTCTCTCACAAGTCCTGAAGACATCTGAAAATAATTTCTTTTCAGCAATACAGGTAGTTCAAAAGCATCCATAGGAAAAATTGTCACCCAATTACTCAGCCCAGAACTCATCATTAAGGCATGATTCTTTCATTCTGAATAAACTGGGAAATTTTTTTCAAAATTATTATTTTCTTTAATAGCCACTCTGAGATGAATGCTAAATGAGTGGTTGCCTCTAATAAAATTATGATCATAGAAGTAAAGGATCCCGGGTAAGAAATAAGGAACTAACGTCATAGCACACAGAACATCTGTTTTTACAATCTGTTTGCTGTTCTGAGTCCTTTACCATTAAAAGTGACAATTTCATGTGTGAGTCTGTCACCAGGAAAACAAAATGAATGTGCAGTTTGGGGAGTAATGAGCACCTTTTATCACACATTCAGAGCATTGTTAGAGTCTCTGTGTGATCACTGAAGCAGAAATCAGGTGAGGGAGTGCTGATTTGCAGTTAGAAGTTATTGTACTGTCTCTAAAAAATTTTGCAAATCACAAAAGGAAGACAGTAGGTGAAATTCCCACAGAAAGCTAAACAAAGAGAATCTGCAAGCAGCAAGGACAGTGCCAAGGAAGTTTAGCAAGGCTGTGACTCCTCCAGCATTTTATCCATACAGTGTTTAATGGATACAATACCATTTCTTCTTGCATCTTTGGCAAACTCTCCTGAAGATCTCCCACTCCTTTGCCTTTTGTTTAGATGTGCATGGAATATTTATTTCAAAGGCTAACAAGGTACTCATCACAATCTTTAGCTTTGAAGGAAGTTGGGAAGTTATTGGTACTCCTTTGTTTTCCCTGCTAATTATTTACGCCTGATACTTCCAGCCCAGCCCACTCTGGAAGATGTTTGCAGTCATGCAGGAGGCACTTGTACATCTCAAGTGTCTGAATGCCAACTCTGAGGTAGGTGCTGCAAAAATGCTGCCCTATATGGCAGGTGAACAGAACAAGACAGCATGCCATCTCTTAAACTGCAGCTGTATTCATGTAGGATTTCTTTCATTGATGTAAAATTTATTTTTTCCTTCACATTCTTGCTCTGATTCAATCCATAATGTTCCTTCTGCTTAGCATTGCCTAGGGTACTCAAAATATCATGGGTTAGAATAGTCTCAATTCCATATCAGATATAGTAAAGGGAGAAAAGCTGCAATGAAGTGGCTGAGCTCAACGTCAATTCATTTGTAGTTTTAGAGGTCTCAGACTTTCCCTCACTGGCACATCTAGATGTTTCAGTATTCATCTGTAAATTTTAAGTGGAGACCTGCTGAATGTGTCCATGTACATGAGCTGCACAGAGCCTACCAGGAATGAGTTGGAGGGGTATGTGCAAGCCAGTGCTACGAACTGGAACCGTGTCCCCACACACAGGAGGAAAACCAGAGCTTCCTCCTTGATGTTGCAGCCACAGAACAAGAGCTTGGGAACAAGCAGTATGTGCAGTTCATCACATGGTTGATCTGATGGAACAGCTGCAAGAAAATAGAGCCTTGTGTATTCATTCAAGCTACACTTATTCTTCATACTTAAGGAACACAAAGGCAATTATTTTTTCAAGCAGTATTCCACATACTGCTGTTTCTGTTTATACCAGTGAACAGTGGAAAGAGAAAAATGTAGTCACAAAGTGGCTGTGCTGTGAATGCTGTGTTTCTGAATGGTTTGAGGCACACCATGTTTCCCAGGAGAGCTCCAGAAGGCAATTACAGTGTCTGAAGGCACAGATGAACTGATTGTGAAAGAAATGTACATAACGCAGAGAGTTTAATAATGATCATGTACACAAAAGTAAAAGCTGTTTTACAGTCTGTTGTTCATGTGGATGTACAAAATTGAAATGCTTTCCCATTTTACTGGTTGGGTTGTTTTTTTTTCATTTACCAGTCATTTTTTTCTTGCTCAGTTCAGAAGAATGCTCTGAAATGCCAAATTTAGGATCTGGGTTTTAAGATCTGCTTTTTAGTCTCAGGGGGTGGACACACTGCATGGCTATGTGGGTCTTTGTGGCAGTACTGGTTTCAGTGGAGTGACAGTGACTTGCAGCCACTGAAGATTTGGTGTTCCACACACACTGAGTTTCTTGTTGGAATCACCCCGGGGTTAATTTCAAATCCAAACTTCTTTTTCCCACTGAAAATGCTATCTTTCTTCGTCTCAGAAATAGCCTGAGATGTCGTCATTGCACATGTAAGGTGAATTTCATTTCTTGTTTTACAAAAAGCACCATACACTAATGACGATAATATTGGTAGCTCTGGTATGACCTGAATAATTACAGCGTCTTGGCAGTTGGGAGTCCTGTCAATACCTGTCAATTCACCAGAACAACAGAAATGAACAAGTTATGTATTAATGTAGCAGAAATTTGGAAGGGAGCAGTGCTTGGATCAGTGGGTTTGAGGTATATTTTCAGAGGAAAACAGCTTTATGCTGGGCAACACTGCTGTGTCTGTTTTCTCTCTGACACTGCACCCAAGACTTGAAAACTCAGTTGAAAAGACAGTTTCTCTGTTTGTACAACTGAATCTATCAGAAAGATGCTGCTTGCTCTTTATTAGGTTCAGAATCAGCATGAAGGAAAGGCTTTGGGATGCTTAAAGTGAGCCCTGTTGTTTTTTTCTCCTTTGATTTGCTTAACAAATGTGTTTTAGCTGAACTAAAGGAGCAACAAAGGCAGGACAATTTTCTGTATATAAGTCTGAGAGCATTTCCACTGCGAAGTGCTGATGTATTTATAACTTAGCAACATAACTCTATTTTGGGTTGAAATTACCCACACCAAGCAGGTGAATTTCATCCTCTTTTCCCAAATCCTCCTCCATCCTTTGCCAGCCTTAACATACCAAATTGAAGCCATTTTTCAAAGATGCAAATCCTAAATGCTAACAGCATGGAAGCCTCTGCATTTCCAGTGCTTTGAATTTTAAAAGTCAGATGTGTCCTCTTGAAGCTACATATGCATAGTTATTCAATTACTGCTCAAAAATAGAAGCGTTTGTAACCTCAAACTCATTTGCATTGAAGCAGCGTGCTCCCAGACCAGTGAGTCTGAGCAGCGTGAGCATCACAGCTCGTGGCCATGCTGTTTGGACCAGTCTTAGCTACATGAAGGAAGTCGGAGATTTTTCAGCTAATGGGAGCAGCAAGCAGAATTATGCATTCCTGGGGGAGCTGGGCCTTTGCTGTTGTGCTTGCTGCAGGAACACCCTTTTCAGAGGGACTTGGCACAAGGAAAGCATGCGTCCTAAAAAGGAAATGTCATCAGGCAGCAGTGAGGGAATGTCAGACCTCCGGTTAAAGGAACGCATCACCTCAGGAGGAAGCACACAGTCAGCTCTATAGGCAACAATTCACACCCTGGGCAGCCCTGAGACTCAGGAAGGTGCCAGAGTTGTGGTGCTCTGACAACTCCTGGTTTTGGCACCTGTGGTAATTATAGTGCCTCTAAGTGTTTTATTCCAAAATATCATTATCATGAACTGCCAGTCCTTCTGTGCAGCACAGTATTTTGCAGGTACTTCCAGACAATTCACAGACTTGTGTTGAAGCACCCCGTGAGTGCTAAGTGCATCATCAAGAGAAAAGAAGTATTTCTCAGAGTTTTCAGTATAGATCACTATGTTCCTCTCAGCTCAGTTCCTCTCAGGATGGCTGCTCTATCTAGTAAAATTGAATGGCATGAACATTATCATTGCTCAGTGTGACACAGTGCTTCAGAAAAGAGAGCACTGCAGTAACGTAACTAACTGGGGTGCTGTATGAGACTGTCTGAAACACAGATAGGTACAGATAGTGTAGAAATGATGTAGGCAGAGGGACCGTGCAAGTGGCCTGGCAGCCTCCTGCCCAGACTGATTTTCTGTGATTTCCTAACAGCAGAGGTAAGCACCGAGCTCTTACTGGGGCAGGAAGGTGCTCAGCTCTCATTATATGCCAAGATTTTCTTCATAATCTGATGTCTGGATCTCACAAACCTATGTTTAAAAGAAAAAAAAAAAAAAAAAAAAAGAAAAAAAAAAGGAAGGAAAATCCCAAAAGATATCTACACTGCTTTTAAGAATCGGGTTCCTTTCCTTTCCTCTCACTGTGAGGAAATTTGGCTTTGAGCAGTGATGGACGGAGGTTGCTTCATGTGATGCCGACATGCAGCCCCTGCAGTGCTAGAGATCCAATGCAGCATATCTAAGTGCAGAGATCTTAGTTTGCATAAATGCATTCAAGGGGATACAGGTCTTTCCCTCATCTGCATTTCTCTCCACCAATACAAAAGTGTTAAACCTCCAATCTGTGCATCCCAAGGATGAGCGTTTCTCTGTGAAGTTTGCACCTCACATTGACCTACTGTTGATTCAGAATGTCAGACTGAAAGGGGTGTGTTTTAATCCAAACTTGCTCCTACAATTCAGATGCTTGTCCCATGTTGGTTTTTTATTTAAAACAAAACAGAAATTATGGAAATGGGGAGTGCAGATTTAAAACTAGATTAGGGATAAAATTTATGAGGAGAATAAAATCACCTTTCTCTTTTTAACTAAATGTAATCACAGGAGAAAGCAACAAAACAGTAAACTTTTGTACTAATTATGTATACAAATATGTGATGTATATGCATACATAGACTTATATAAGTACTTTCATCCAGGTACAGTACAACCTCATTGTCCTCCCAAAGCAGAAGAGATGGGGGGGAGGGCTGCGGGGCTGAAATGGGGCACAGATTTCCTGATGCAGCTTGATGCTTTCTGGAGATCCTACACCAAGCCTGGCCACCTGCACTCCAAGCCTCTGGCTGTGGGAGCACCATGCTGGTGGATGACCAGGAGGGCTTCACCTTGTGAGGT